GATTGACTTCGCCTATTTGGCATCTCTAATTTTCAAGCGTATACGCTTAAACAATAAAAAACAACGACTCCATGCAGCTTGCCATAGTCATGACTCGTGACTACATTCTAAATAAAACTTCGTGATCATAACTATGGCTAATTTCTTTTGCCTTTTGAATTGTATAGAGTTGATGTAGATTGCCACTATCTTCCTTAGTTGATCCATCTCAGTTACCATTGCAATCTTATTTTGATTTATGGCAGTTCGTTCTTCAAATATATGAGTTTTTATAAGTGTAAAATAGAAAATTATTCCAGGAAAAATCAGTATAACTAAAGCATATGGAATCAAAAATTTAAAATTGAAAGTGAAATAACATGGACAAATTTCAGAAACATGTTTTATTACAAGTTCTAAATGCGATGACAATAAGGGGAACAATGATCGGTGCAGGAAAACATTACAATCTACAGATCATCAAAATGGTGATCTCGGTGCCGATTCTTCCTTCTGTTCCCTGGACGAATTCGACGACGTTTACCACCCTTCTTGATACTCTTCTGGTTACCCTTCTTTACCGGTGATAACGCCGGCTCCTCAACTGGAATATTCCAAGCCAATTGAGCGAGAAGTGCCAGAGTTTCCTCATCAGAAGCCACTGGATTACTTGATTCAAACTGAGGAATCGTATCAAGATATGTATTTGGAGGCGGAACCGGAATATTCCAATCAAATTGGGCCATCGGAGCAAGAAACTCCCCAGGCGAATTCCCTGGAGTGGCAGCCGGCGTAGCAGAATCCAAGCCCTTGTTACTGATTTCTTCTTCGCCGAGATCTTCAGAATATTTGTTCAAACCAGTCATTAGAATGTCATCAATCCCGTGCACCACAGTTCTCGATCCAACAAAAAGATCCGGTGCTGAGATCCGAACCCCATCCACCAGGACTCCAGTACTCCCATTATTCGAAATCATGCTATCGTTTTGAGTTTTTCCAATCAAGACTGAGTAGTGAGGGAGGAGGGTATCAAGAAAAGAGGTGGAGAGGTTCTGCAGCTCGGCGAAAGTGAGGCGGCGATGGGGGATGACGTGGTATTGGAGGGTGCTGACGTAGATGTTAGCGTCGGAGGCCATGTCGAGGGCGAAGAGTTGGGAGTCCTTGGGACAGAAGAGAGTAAACGACGTTGTGCGGTTAACATCATCAGAGGCGGCGGTGGTGACGAGTTGGTATTGGAGCTCGGTGGTCGTAATTGCGTTGCTGAAGAGAGTATAGCCGTGGCTTCTGAGGGTTTTGAGCATTGTTTCAAGCTCTTGGAATGTGGTTGTGGAATCGGTGGTCTCGGCCGCGCCGGTGGTGGTGATGGCTGCGGAGCCAAGGAGGAGGAAAAGTAAGAAAGTGGTGTCCATTGGTCAAGAGTGCAGAGAGAGTGGGGGCGCAAACGCAATTTTAGAAGCTGTTATTTCAGTTGAGAAATTTGGCGCCTTTTTTTGCAGTTTTGAAGTGTGAATCTGATGAGGTCAAGTTTACAATGGGTCGGATAACACGAATTGTATTCTGACATGTCATCATTTGGAAGATTTCCATTATATTGCTTTGGTAAAATTTTTGAATTAAGCTATTCGTACATTTTTATTGACATCCTCCTTACGTGTAAAAAACTTAATAAGTGATGCTATAAAATCAATGGCTGAGATGGATGTCATGTCAAACGAAGTCAAACTTAATGTAAAAATTAATGTACATGTAGTATGATTGATAAATTATGACCCGCTTTAATTTTGAAGGTAAAATAATTTCATTTAATTTTCTCAGCTAAAAATATTTTAATGTACATATATTATTAATAAAATTTAAAATTATCACACATTCTTAATATTGTGCCTTCTGTCAAATTTATAAATGGTTTATTAATAGGAAATGAATAATAGTGAATTCAATTCAATAGATAAATAATGTCTCCTGAATGATCCACATCTTAGGATCAGATGTCGATGAGCACATTGAACGAACTATCAATGTAGGTGAGAGCTCTCGTAGCTCAGATGCAACGACGTAATTATCAAGGACATGCTCTACCTCTAAGCTAATAGTTCATAGTGCAAGCCTCCCACTTGGTGCTGCTACATCAAAAGAGAAAAATCTCATTCCTATCTTTCCTTTTTTCATCACGAACGAGTAGAAGTTATGAACGTATGATTGAAATTAATATTTGTCTTTAACTAAATAGAAGAGAAGATAACGCTTTTAATTTGATGCACCAAATACGGGAATTTTATTCAATAAGAAAATTGATTAATTATCAGTTACACTTCTTAAGAACCCTAATCCCCTTCCAACGAGATTCCATATAGTAGGAATCATCATCCTGTGCATAAACTCCACACTTGAAATAATGAGAAGTTCCTCCACGGCCAGGAGCTTCATATTTGAGAATTCCATTAATATAAATTTTTACTTTACTGGCCTCAACATCATGAATTACATTCAATCTGAACCATTTATCATATACATTTGGGATAAGAAAAGGCTACCTGTAGTATGAGAGTGAGCCATCATAAACTCTGAGCATTAAGGTACTGGCATGAGGTGGGCTTGCTCCAAAAACTTGCATAACTCAGACGCCAGATGTTTCACATGGTACGTATCCAAATGCTTCGAATTGCCATACACGGGAGGAGTAGTCGTATCCCTACAATGAAAGAGGAAAGTGATTGAATACTGCTCTCTATAGTTTAAAGTTTCAGATGACTTGGTTGACTTGCACGTTTAAAATATTAGCAAATAAGAATAAACGGAAGGAAGAGATAAAGAGAGAAGTTGTTTTTACGCTTATAATTATCTCAGAGCGAGGCTTGGTTGGGCTATTTCGAGATAAATGTTTGTCCGTAGAGAACACCCATAACTTATGAACTCCATTGATGAAGCTGTATCTTTGTTCAACATGTTAGTTATAGGGTTTTTGAATGTGATAAAAGGATGAATTAAATGGGAGCTCTATAAAGCCATGAGTTGGATCATTTGACCATCCTTTAGCTACGTAAATACATAGTGACAAAGCTAGGCTTCAAAGAGCAAATTGATGAAGAGTCTTCATCTAGCTCGACAATAGTCAACAACTGAAGTGCTATTGAGGATGAAATGACATTTGAGATGTTTGTCTTATTTATACCCTAAAATAATATTGGTGGGTGAAATTATTTCTGCGTATATAATTTTATTCCTCATACTATAGTCAAGAACTTTGGCTTATTATGCTTCTATAACTGTTAATTAATCTTTTTTTTTTTTTTCATTTTCATTTTCTGTGGTTTTACTGACTGGAGTGTGGGTTTTTTCTGTTTTGAAAACCCACAATTTATGAACTCCATGTCTGAAGCTATATCTCTGATCTTGGAGTGCATTACGAGGACTTTGAATTACCAAATTTGATTCATTTAGTGGAAGAGGAAAAAACCCTTTTGTGGGCCCAATTACAGGTCTCCAAGTCACAGCTCAGGATACTGTTAGTAGCAATATTAGAGACAAATTAGTATAAAGAGGTTAAAAGGTAAGAAGAAGTCGTGATTTTTTGGAGTAGAAAAAGAACAACGAGTCTTGAATAGGATAGTTTGGGATAAGTTTGGAACATGATTAATTCTAAAGAAGAAGGACATGATGTTAGGTATAATTATTGGAATCTTGGACAAGACGGTGAACTACCATGATAAATTGAGAAAATTAATGTTAGGTAAAAGAAAAAAAATGAATACGGCTAAGTTGGAAACTGAAGGGGAAATTAATTGCAGCATATTCGAATGACAGATAAGATTACAAATAAAAAAGACAAGAGCGTAAATAGTACACAATTATTGTAACAGTAAAAATATTCGAACGTGAAATTGCAAGAAACCTAAGATACTTATTGTGTTGCAGAGAAAAAAATATAAGCCTCCGTTTGACAAATTTTATAGATCAATTTATAAATGGTCAAATTAATTTATAAATAATTAAACTTTATTTTCAAGTATTATACACTAATTCGTCATTCATTCTATTTACTTGTATATTAATCCATTTGTAAATTATTTCCAAATAGAAATATTGGTGCGTTTGTTCCTAATATCTTTAAAAATCAAAATTCTTGTAAGGAAAAAATAAACCAAATGGAAAAGAGAAAACCATATTTATATCTAAGTCAACAAAAAAGAATGAATAATGCTATTTATAGTGAAACTATAGTATGGCAGTTTGTTATATAATGCATAAGACAATACAAAACTTTCGTGTTAATGCATCAAATAACAAATTGTTAAGTATAATTTAGTTCACCTGCCTTTTTCTCGAAGTGATCAAATTTCCTTCTCTTCTCTTCAAACAATTAATGTTTCTTTTCTTTTTCTAATTCTAACTGCTGACTAGCTCTTTGATCCAAAGCAGCTAGTTGTTAATAATCATGAAGCATCTTCTCTTTGCATGTAGTATGTGATACATCCCGTGATTATTTTAATGTTATAACTTCTAATTTTATTTGAAAACTCTACATTTATTGCTTGATAAATAATGACAAATTTTTATCGTCTAACTCTATGGAATTCATTTTCTACTTTCACAATTCTTAAGAACAGTATATATCTCTTTACAGGTTTATGGATTATTGTCAAAAAAATTGTCTATTAAAAGAAGGAAAAGAGAACGAAAAATTCCCGGTTGGTTTCGTTTTACGTAGACTTTGTTCTATCTACTAATATCACAATCCGAAAAACCAAATAATCATATACGAGATAGACATGTATAAAGAGCATATATAAAGAGAACATAGTAAGTGTTTTTCCTTAATACTAGATTACAATTTACCTTCTCAAACAGTTAAGATACATAAAGTGAATATATTGATTGAAGAAAAAATATAGCAAACACAAACAAATTCATCTGGAAAATGATATGGATATCCGAAGCAAGAGAGCTCAAGCAAAAATTCATCTTGAATCTATTTTTGAGTCGCATAATCCATCAGCACATCGCTAAAAATAATTTGACTAGTTTTCTATTTATAAACTGTTTGTTAGAGATCAAAAGAAGATAAACATTTTGTAAGGAAATTTTATTCCATAACCAATTACTTAAAAGAAGGATAATTAAATGTTAATCACCTCTTAAAAACCCTAATCCCCTTCCAACGAGACTCCATATAGAAGGAAGAATTTTTTTGTGCATAAACTCCACACTTGAAATAATGAAAAGTTCCTCCTAGGTCAAGAGTTTCATATTTGAAGATTCCATTAATGTAAATCATTATTTTCCTGGTCTCCACTTCATGGATTACATTCAATCTGAACCATTTATCATATACTTTTGGGTAAATGACGGACGCGTTGAAGTATGTGAGTGAGCCATCGTTAACTCCGAGTATAAAGGATGTGTTATGAGGTAGGGTTGCTCCGAAAACTTGCATGATCGACACACCTGATGTACCGTGTGGGACATGTCCATACGCTTCAAATTGCCATACACCTGAGTAGTAGGTGTATCCCTGTGAAGAAGAAAAAGAGTTGAAGACCATTAAAATATATAAGTAAGTTCATCATGTCCAACATGTTGTTAAAAAAATTGAATGTGACGTGGTTCAACGTGATATATGACTTACACATAAAGTGAGTGCATTGAAGATTATCCAAATAAATAAGTTTGATCCATCTCTAAGATTATAAACTTTTTAGATTAGATAGTTTGACATAAGAAGAAAAAAGTACGCGTATGATTGAATTTATATTGACTCCATTCCATATGCATCATTTTTCATAAATTTTTATTACAAGGTTAATATATTCGACGCAAACTAAACCAAACAAAGTTTTCTATGTCTTAATTCATGATATAATGATCTTTATTATGTACATAGCTCTCAAGAACACCCAAGGATATGAATAAACTATACATGAGTCTTTCTACATGAACAAGCACACCCAAAATGAGAGAGAGAGAGAGAGAGAGAGTGAGAGAGAGAGAGAGAGAGAGAGAGTATTACGCTTATAATTATCTCAGAGCGAGGCCTGGTGGGACTATTTCGTGATAAAGGTTTATCCGTAGAGAAGACCCATAATTTATGAACTCCATTGATGAAGCTGTACCTTTGTTCAACAGGCAAGTCATAAGGTTTTTGAATGTGATAAAAGGATGTGTTAAATGGGAGTTCTTTAAAGCCATGAGTTAAATCGTTTGACCATCCTCTGGCAAGGCAACTACATAATGTAAAAGCTATGATCAGAGGAGCAAATTGAAACTGAGTTCCCATCTAGCTTTTCCTTGAGAACTGGAAATTGAAAAAGGTGGAGTACTACATGTTATTTATATGAATAATGCTGCTTGAACACGGGCTTTTGACAGGATTTGTTGACCGGTGTTGTGTGGAAGCATGTGTGTGGGTGCTTTTTCCCCTAACAATCCAATGAACAAATGACACCATCTGTTTAAAATCCTGTCATTGAGCCTGTTCATATAGCATGATCGTATTTATATAATTTTATAATCCTGTTACACTCAAAAAAATTTGGCATTTTATATTTGTATGACTGTTAGTTAAAGAAATTAATTAACAAATGAATGAGTTAATTAGGAATTATTAATTAATCTAAGGGGGATTGATTGCAGCATATCCGAAGACTAGATAGATTACAAATAAAAAAGACACCATCGTAACAACAGGAACATTCGAAAGAGAAAACGTTTTCAACAATGACATATTTTGTCTTGATATAACTTTTTCTAATTGATAATTTTTACCTTTCTTTTTTTTTTTTTCCTTTTCTGAGAAACACTTGGTTGTTAAAAATATTAGTAGCGACAAAAAATTTGTGTTGCTTTCATCACTAAAAAACATAGAACAATGATAAAATACACGTCATTGAAAATATATAATGTTATATTATATTTCTTCCATTTAAAAGTATGAATGAATGACAAAAATTTCAATTTTGGTTGCTAAAATTACTTTAATTTATTGTTAAAACACTTTTAACTTTTTTACTTTTTGTTAAATAGGAACTAAAGAAGGAATTATTAACTAATTTAAGGGGAATCGATTGCAGTATATCCGAAAGATGCAAATAAAAAATGTTGAGCATAATTAGTACATAACTATTGTAATTATAGGAATGGGAAAATGTTTTTAACAATGACATATTTTGTCTTGATATAGTTTTTTCCATCGATGACTTGCAGTTGAAACAATCAAATTATTGTCCGGTTTGTTAACCAACAATACACTTGGTCATTCAAAATTGTAATCACGATGAAATATTTATAATGCTTTCATCATTTCAAAACACAAAACAACGATGAAATATGTGTTATTAATAATATTTATGACAACGTTATATTATGTTAGTTCCATTAAAAATATGTTGTGACCAAAAAAATTTCCTATTTTGGTTGTTAAATACTTCAATTTATTGTTTAAGCTAACATTAATTCAGTAATTAGATGACATTAATATCCATAAAATTGAACTACAATACTTTAATGACAAATTAAAAATAATTGTGAGACAAGCTGAAATTAAATATCATGCTAACATTAGCACGATAGCTGCATTTGAACTACTCCACTCAAAAGGCAAATGGTGCAATACGAAAGGAAGGATTGTATGGCTCTTGAACTCGATATGTGTAAGGCCTATGGCAGAGTAGAGATTTCATCATTCAGTTATATTGGATTACTTTACTATTACATAGACGATGGAAGACTAAGCATTGTCTGCGAACAGCATTACTCTAAAATAAATGAGTCTTGTTCCATTACATTTAATTGAACTTTTCGTTTAAATATGGATATGTTCCACATAAACCCGTGTTTAACACCAACTATGCTAAAAATGTCAAGTATTTGGTTATATTTATGTACTCCTTTCTTGTTTTATTTCTTCGTAGATCCTTTGTTCTATTTACGCAAAACCTCGATATATGCAAAGATCATATATAGCTTGCAGTTTTGATAATGACTTGTAACTTTTTCCTCAATAGTAGCATACACAATCAAATCCATCTCAGAAATGCTATGACATTAGTGCTTGTTTGGTAGCATTTTTAAGTTGTTACATCTCTTTGAGTTTGCTTAATCCATCAATGCATCACTAATAATCACTTGACAAGTTTTCTATTAATAAGTTGTTCATTAGAAATCAAAAGAAAGATGAAACCTTTTTAACTTGATGCTACACACACACACACACATTGGCAATTTAATTCGAATGCACATTACTTAAGATAAGGATATTGTTAGACATTATGTTGTCAAACGACCCCCGGACGATGATGAGAACCAATTTTATCAGTCGACATAAATGACTGAACGATAATTCAACATCGAATAATGGATGAACCGACCGAACGTTGCCTTACCTATTGGACGGCTAATATTCTTTGTGGCTTGTTGATTTCTTCCATTGGAAGTTAACCCTAGTCGAGCCTACTTACCATATCCCGACTTACCTTATGTTGGCCACTTGACTTACTATATATATTGGTGTCTTTGCCTTTGTTGGTACCGTCCAAAATTGAAGCCGTGAGGAAGAAGAAACTGCCGTGTCCAAGCCGTGTCCAAGCCGTGTCTTCTGTCTTCATCTTCTTCGTGATTTCTTCTCCACCCAAACTGCTTGAGTCTTTGTGAACCTTACCTGAGTGGTATCCATCCTAAGTGTGTGGATTGAATCAATTAAGCAAGAGAAGAAAGCAACCATAGGAAGAAGAGGCGCCGGCGGTATGGGTCATTCCAGTTTTGATGTTGAACTCGGTTTTACTGGTTAACTGAGCCCGGGAATCAGCGTGAGCAGCAAGAGGAAGGTCCTAACAGATATAATTAATTATCATTCATATTTCTTAAAAACTCGAATCCCCTTCCAACGAGACTCCATATAGTATGAAGCATTAGACCCGGCATAAACTCCACACTTGAAATAATGAGAAGTTCCTCCTCGGTCAAGAGTTTCATATTTGAAGATTCCATTAATGTAAACCTTTAGTTTCCTGGTCTCCACTTCATGGATTACATTCAGCCTGAACCATTTATCATATGCTTTTGGGTATATGACGGGCGCTCCGAAGTGTGTGAGTGAGCCATTAGTGTCAACTCCGAGGATAAAGGATGTGTTATGAGGTAGGGTTGCTCCGAAAACTTGCATGATCGACACACCTGAAGTACCGTGTGGGACATATCCATACGCTTCAAATTGCCATACACCCGAGTAGTAGATGTATCCTTGTGAAGAAGAAAAAGAGTTGAAGACCTTTAAAATAGATAAGTACGTCCATGGTGTCCAACATGTTATTAATAAGTTTGTATGTGATGTGGTTCAACGTGATATATGACTTGCCCATAAAGTGAGCGCGTTGAAGATTATCCAAATAAATAAGTCTGATCCATCTCTAACAATATAAACTTTTAGATTAGATAGTTCAACATAAAAAGGAAAAAAAAAATGTAGTATGCATATGATTGAATTTATATCAACTCCATTCCATATGCATCATTTTTCATAAATTTTTATTCTAAGG